CTTTCACTTCCCTGAACCCCCCCCCCCACACACCCCTTGTTCCATTGTAATATTAGAGGCTACCTGACTTTTTTTAAAAAAAGGTCTCTTACTTGAGTCTTTTGGTGATAGGTATAGGTATACTAATCCTTCAGAGATTTTAGCTACAGCATCCTTACCCCAATAAAAATTTCCTTAACCACCTGCATAAGCTTAAAAAAGATTTTCATTCAGTAATATTGACTATAGTTAAACAATGAGTGATCATCAGTTATAATGGAATATGCCTCAGTACTGATGTTGGAAATTTGGAAATTCAATTCCTTGCACAGAGGCTCTCAGAGTGACCTTGACTCTGTCTGTACACTCCAGAACAACTAAGAGTATGGAGAGTTATATCATCATAACCTCAAACACCATAGATATACCTCTCTCTCTCTCTCTGTGTCTGTCTCTGTCTCTCTCTGTCTCTCTCTTTTCCTCCTTCTCCTCCTCCTTCTTCTCCTCTCTCCCCCTCCCTACCTCCAACATCAGTACTGAGGCATTTCTCTTCATAAACAATGGTCACTTTTTTTTAACTGTAGTCAATACAAAGTTGGAAGGAAAAACAAAACAAAACAAAACAAAAACAAAAAACTGTAGTCGATATAGCCGAATGAGAATCTTTTTTAATCCTTTGCAGGAGGCTAAGGAAGGATGTACTGTGGTAAGAATGCTAAATCCTTAAAGACTTAGTATTCCTACACCTCTCCCCTAAAAATTCAAGTCATAGATTTTTTTACCAGTCAAATACTACTACTACATCTACTACTACTGCTGCTGCTGCTACTACTACTACTACTACTACTACTACTACTAGCTAATGTTTCTATAGAGCTTTAAAGTTTGTAACACATATATTATCTTGTTTGATCATCATAACAACCCTGTGATTTGGGTGCTATTGTTACCCCATTTTACAGAGAAGCAACCTGAGGCTGAGAGAAGTTAATGTGCCCAAGGTCACATAGCTAGTAACTCTTTGGAGGGGAATTTGAACCCAGGTCTTTCTAACTCCAAATGAAACACTCTATCCCTTATGCTGTGTAGCTTACTCATTCCTTGATTGATATGAAAAGTCCACCTCAGCCCACCCAATGAACATCTTATCCTCTGAGTTGCTCCACTTCGGTGGTCATGTTCTCATCAGATATGATGTTGGTGAGGATGTTATCCTAGTGCAATTACCACCACCAATTCACTTTAAAAAAATTTTTTTAATGCAAACATTGTAATTGCCTAGTAATGGAATGCCTAGATTGATAGCCAAAATGAAAAATCTTGTAGTTCACCTAAGACAAGTGTAGTGAAAGATTTATTGCCTGTTTCTAGACCATTCTGCACCTTCATCTAAGATTTTGCCAACATCTTGGGAACATTTACGAGACTTGTAAAGTTTATGTGAGTTAATTCATTGCTGCCTCTTTGAAAAACCAAACACTTTCTATTACCTGCTGGGTTTTTCACCCTAAAGTCAGCTGGAGCTCTGCCTGAAGCAGGTTCAGCTCCCAATCTGTAGTTACTGCTCTAGACACAAAGTTACATCCATCCCCCTTTGGTGCTTTGGTAGTTCTATGACTTCAGTGAAGTGTATATTCCCTCCACAGATACAGACTGCAGCTCACCATTTCTTGTCCAAGTCTCATTCATGTTTTTCTGTATATTTTCTATACAGGATCCATCTAACACTCTGGAGATCTTCCTCTAATTTTTGTAACCTATTGAGAATACTACCTCACCACTGCCGGGTGAAGGGTAGGAGGGAATAAGTACTTTTTAAATGCCTGCTATGTGACAGCGATTAAATGCTTTAGAAATACTATCTCATTTGATCTCAACAACGACCTTGGGAGGTAGGTGTGATTGTCATCCCCATTTTACAATTGAGGAAACTGACAAAAATTAAATGACTTACCCAAGGCCACACAGCTATTAAGTGTCTGAGGATGGATTTGAACTCAGGTCTTCTTGACTCCAGGCCCAGTATTCTGTCCACCGTGCCACCTAGCTGTTTATCAGCTAGTTGACTCTCATTTCTCAACCTGCTGTCTTTTCCAGTTGTGTCTTCTTTAATGATGTTTTTAATGCGATTTCTCATGGGTATGGATGGCAGATGTCCCCCCATTAGTGAAATCACACATTCACCAAAAAACCAAGGTGTGATGGATACAGCTCCTTCCTTACCTCTAAAGTGATGACAAATTACAACCCATACCAGGATTGGATGGAGTTGTCAGCAGACTTTAATAACATGCTGCCATCTGCTGATACCCTCATGTGTCTTTCCATGGCCCTCTGGGGTACTTGTGATTTTTATTCTAAAAAGCTCACCGTGGTGTTCCGTGATTTATAATTGCATAACATCACCAGCAAGATAAGCATTAATGCGCTCTCTCTCTCTCCCTAAATGATCTTAGATTCATCTATCTTTTAAATGTCCTATTTCCACTTGAATGTCCATTCATAGAAGTCAGCAGCAAGTTTGTTTGTTTTTTTCATCTTTTATGTCTGTGGTCTTCTACATTTTAATTTCGGTTTTAGACTGATCCTATGACCAGGACTAGTTACAGGGAATCAGCACAGGAAATTGCTAATGCAGATGGGCACCTTATTGTCTTACCGAGTTGCCTGGGGCATTAAGAGGCCAGTCAGTCAATTAATAAGCATGTAAAAGCACCTACTATGAGCCAGCCACTGTTGTAAGCACTAGGGATACAAATAAATTCAAAAGACTGAGAGGCTCATTAAATCAGGGAGACAAAGTGGAAACAACTCTACACAAACAAGTAAAATACCAAATAACTGGAGTTAATCAATAGAGAAGGCACTAGCCTTACAAGGGATTGGGAAAGGCTTCTTGGAGAAGATGAGATTCTAGCTTGGACATGAATGGGACGTCCCAGTGAAGACTTCTCAGTGTAATTAAGGTAATGAGTTCAGAAGGTAGTGTGAGAAATGAACTCTCAGAAGTGAAGGCTCCTCAAAGGGTCAAATAATTCTGGATTATTACTTTCAAAATCCTACCCCACTTAGACCCTGTTTTTAAGCACTTAACAGAAAGAATAAGCCCTGCCCCACCCCCAACCTGAGCTTCTAGTCTCTTTCCTTGTATTTGAATTTTGGGCCTGGAATGTAAGCCTCACCTCCCAGTTAAGAGGATAGGAAGAAACTTTGGAGCTTAGAATGTAAGCCCACCCCAGTTAAGCGGGTAAGGGATAGTGGTGGGTGGAGGCTTGTTTGCGTGGTGGACAGAGATTTGCTTTCATAAGGCAGCCCCTGTTACTCCGTCTCTTTCTCTCTCCACCTGTATCGAAGGAGCAGACAGCCATCTCTCGAGGCTGTAATAAAGGTAACCTTTACTTTCCACCTTGAGAAGTGTCTGAGTTTAATTTGGGTTGGGGTTGCTGTCCCCCACAGACATGACTTTGGGTGACTCAAGGTGGCCTGGACATCGAATTCAACTCTTTCTGCCTCAGGGGCCTGCTCCCTATCCTTACATAGTTCCTACTTAGTAAACATTTGCTTGGTTTAATTGAATGGAAAGAGATGGGCTTTTGTGTCAGGAGGAATTTCCTAAATGCAATCCAGTCCAAGAGCCTTCTCCTTCTCCATTAAGAGCCTAGACTATTGTCTATCTGAAGTAACTGTCCAAACTATTCATATTGATGCATTAGTATATAAGTCTTGAGGTTGGCAGTATTGCTGTCTTCAAGCATTTCACAGGGTATCACGGAAAAGGGGTGGGCTTTGTTCTACTTGATCTCGAAGGGAAGAGATAGAAGCAATGGGCGAAGTTGTAAAGGTAGAAATTTTAATAATAATAATAACATCTAAATAATACTGTAAGGTTTGCCTTACACATCTCACTTGATTCTCACAAAACCCTCGAGATAGGTGTTATTATTATCTTTGTTTTACAGATGGGGAAACTGAAATAAATACAGGCTAGGTAATTTATTCAGTGGCATGCGGTGTCTGAGGTAAAACTTGAACTCAGGTCTTTCGGATTCCAAGTCCAGTACTTTATCCATTACATGTGAAAATTTCCTAACCATTCGAGCTGTCCCAAAGTGCCTTTGAAATCAGAGAACAGGTGTGACTGGTAGGAAATTCAGAGATCCAATGGAAGTGTACAAAATCCTCTAGGCCAGAGATGGTTTTATTTCGTCTTTATGTTCCCAGTGCCAACATAGCAGTAACACAACAAGTATTTGTTGAATTGGAGAGAACTGAGCCTGTTTGAACTAAATGACTTCCTCGTAGTCATATAGCTTTTCAGTGGCAAATCTAGGACTTAACTCAGGTGTTCTAGCTCCAGATGTGGGGTTCTTTCAACTACAGCATCCTGCTTCTTCCTGCCTCTAGAGATAGTCAGAAAGGCGTGGAAGATAGGTCTCATTGTCTTTTTGCTTACCTTTGGGGTGGGAGGTTTGGTTCTTTGCTTCACTTTGATTCTCTGGTGGATATATGACTTCAACCTGGACAGTTTTACCAGCGCCGTGCCAGAAAATTGAATCTCTTCCATTTGAATTGCCTCAGGAAGATTCTGAAGATTGCCTGGCAGGATAAGATACCGATACTGAAATCCTTTCTTGAGCTCAACAGCTAAGCAAGCATTCAAACTCTACTGCAGAGAGCACCACTCTGAGGGGCAGGCCACATAGACTGAATGCCAAACACACTCATATTTGCTTAAAAAACTATTTTATGGGCAACTCCTTACATAGCGTTCAGAAAACCGTACAAGGACACTCTCAAGGTCTCTGAAGGACTTTAGTATTGATTGTGAGGCATGGGAGGTGCTGGCACAGGACTGCCTGGCATGATGTGCCTGCATCACAAAGAAGATGTTGTGCTCCTATGAGCAAAGCAGAATTTCAGTAGCACAAAGGAAATATGAGAAGCACAAATCTAGAGACATCTCCATCCCAAATGTTCAAATGGACTATTTGTGCTTGACCTGTAGTAGAGCCTTCCAAGCTCATATCGGAATGATCAGCCACAGTCAAATACACTGCACCTTGACCCCAAGGAGGGTCAAGGACATCATCGGTCCTCTTCAAGTATGATGGATGAACAATAATTTTCCTGCTGTGGGTAAATCTCCCACCCATGCCCACAAGAAGCGGCATGGAGAACATCACTGAGGAGGATATGACTGGAAAAGGTGGGTAGTGCTTGAGAGAATAAAAGACATCCATCACATAAGCCAGATGGCACAATGGTATTCAGGGTTTTTCTCCATTTGTTTCAGTGTTTCCCTTCTCTTACAGTTATTTTGAGAATTGACCTCCAAGTGCCTTAAAAAATGTATTTTCTCCATCAGGCATAAATATAGTTTCTGTATGTCCTTAGGCAGGTCTAGTCAGCATTAGCTTCATGAATTTACGTTTTTATGTGCCCTTGCCGCTTCTTTACATTGTACATTGAGTCTCTCGGTGGTGGAGTCCAAATACAGTGGTAACACTATTGTTGCTGATGGAAATAGATCATGGCAATAGACGAGCTATTCCTCTTTACACTTATATGTTATCCTCATTCCACTTTAACTACAAATGACGATCTGGCTTACCTAAATCTCATATCAAGCTCCCTGTAGCCTTGTTTTCTTCTATATTCTTTTTTCATTGTTTTATAATGATGGTAGTCTTTCATCCTCATCCTCCTTAATATTTTGCAAATAAGCTTGCACTCTAACCTGTGCCCTCGTCTATAAAGTCTCTACTTGGTAAGAGAAATGTGCTTGTTTTCTGAAGGGCTTTCTGAGCCCATTGAACAACTATTTTTCATGGATTAAACTTGTCTAGGAAATAATGATAGAATGAATAGTTTTACTCATCCATTTCCCACTTTAGCATAGAAGGGCCAATGACACCACAGTGCTTCTTATTCACAGCATGCTAAAATGGGGAGATTTAATAAATAATTATCAGTGACAGAAAGAGAATGATATGATGCGGGGGTGTTACACTCAAATAGAAATGGGGCCACTAAGTGTCACACAAGGATCCCTAGGGGCTGTATATTGATTAGAAAAAAATCACAAACTAAAATTATCTATGTCCTACTGTATTTTGATTTATTTTGTTAATTTTTATCTAATTCAGGCTGCTCTTGGGAGATTAAAGCTGTGGGTAAAAAGTTTGACACCACTATTATTAGCTGATTAAATGCTGGCCTTAGAGGCAGGCAGCTCTGCGTTCAAATTCTACCTTGGACACTTACTAGCTATGAGACCACAAGCAGATCCCATAACTCCTCTGAGCCTCAGACAACTCTCTAATACAATACATTACAATGATCTGCCTCAGTGGAGGGCATTCTCACAACAACAATATCACAAGTCTTGGAAATACTGATGTAAGTATTAGTGACAAAATGTTTTAAGGATATTTCTGTGGTTTTAGAATTGAAAACTATAAATGCTGCCCCTGGTAATGTTTCAGTAACTGCAGCAGAGTATTTTATTGCCATCAATAGATAAATCTATACTACCTAAATATAAATGTTACTAGAAAGATCTATAAGAAAATATTGAAATATTGAAATTATATAATATATCAAGAGAAAAAGAACAATGTATTGCAGAGTTAGGGAATCTCTCTATTTAGTAGCAGAGTAATATAAATAGAACCAGGTGAGATTGGTTTGAATTTGTTCCACAAAACAAAACAAAACAAACAAAAAAACCCAACAACTTGTAAGTTTCCCATTAAAATCACTATAGACTCAGAGCAAGGTACAATTGAGACTGCCTGTTTTCATTTTTTGGAGCTAGTTTTAGGGGGCATCATAAGTAGCTCACTCAGCAATCACAACTCAAAGTCTCTTTGGAAGAAGAGTAGTTCTGGGTCCACTTATTGGAAAAGAGTCATGCGGATTACCTTTTGTTATTTATACCACAGTAATTCTCCAGTATGGAGGCAGCTAGGTGGTTTAGTGGATAGAGCACTGGGCCTGAGTTCAAATCCAACCTCAGACCCTGAGCAAAGTCACTTAACCTCTATTTGGCTTAATCTGCTGAAGAAGAAAATGGCAAAACACTCCAGTATCTTTGCCAAGAAAACGTCATAATGGAATCAGGAAGAGTGGGACATGACTGATCAATGGAATGTTAGCCACAACCACAACAATTCTCCACTATATTATCTCCTCCCCCTTACTCATAGAATCATAGGTTGAGAGCTGGAAGCGAGCTTAGGGGTCATTAAATCTAACTCTGACCTCTACTTCTGACCCTAATTCTGCTTCTAGATACTTCAGTTTACAGATAAGGAAACTGAGTCCCAGGAAGGTTATATGAACTTGCTTAAGGTCCCATGGATAGTGAGTGTCTGAGGTAGGACTGGAGCCCAGGTTGCCCTGATTCCAAGGCCAGCATTTTATGCAACATACGCTTTGCTTTTAGGATCCTCCCTACTAAAAATAAAAGCAACAAAAGTATTTTTAAAACATGGGGGAGAAAGACCAAATAAATCAGGCAGCAGATGCACCCTTTGGTCCCCATAGTCCTCCCTCTCTTTACTGACAGGAGGGATTGATCACTGCAATGTATTGAGTCTGGCTCCAGTTACTGTTGCTCGATTTTACAGCATTGCAGTCATTGCGTGAATTTTGATCACTTCAGACTTTCGCTTTGTGGGCAATCATTTATAAAGTCCTCTCATGTTTCTCTGAATTTTTCCTATCATTTCCTGCGGTGCAATACTATTTCATTACATTTGTATAACACAGCTTGTTTAGTCACTCCCTAATCAGTGGGTTCCCACTTTGTTATAAGTTAGGTTGTGTGTGTGTGTGTGTGTGGTGTGTGTGTGTGTGTGTGTGTGTGTGTGTGTAGCTTTGGGGTTCCATTTTTCTATCTCTCATTGAATGGTGTCCAAGAAAGATCTGGTTTGCCATCTGTCGTTTTGTGTTCGTCCAATAAACTTTTGGGTGAGACAGACACCATGCATCATGGATCTCTGGTTCCCTTCCCTGAACTTGATGTACAAGGAATACCTGTTCCTGTATTGATCTTTTCTCCTATACTTATCTTTCCAATGCTTCCCATTATTTTTCATCAACAGTCTTCCCTCCTGTCAGTTTCAATCTCATTTCTGCTCCTCCCCTCCCCTCCTCTCCTCCTGTCTACAAAATCCTGGCTTTCAAGCTTGGAGCCTTGTAATGTCTGCTACTCTCTTGGGCAAAAGATACAGCTGAGACCAGCGCTCTGCCAAAAATTAACATTTTTGCACCTTGCCTTCCCTGGGACGACATAATACCAGAGGGGCTGTGACCGAGAAAGCCATTTTGGTTTCTAATTAGTGAGGTTCACAGGGATGTATCTACTTTCCTCTCAACGGTCATATCTTGAAATACAAAGAAACCCACATCTGGTGAACTGTTCAAAGATATTTTTCCTTCAGAATTGTATAATTGCAATCTATTTGACTGTATTATTGCATTTCATAACACATTATACCATTCCATACTAAGATATGACCAATCTGAACAATGAAACAAGTGGCAATTCGTAAAGTAAAGAAAGCTGTTTTGGTTTTATCCCAGTGGGAAAGGATTCAATGACTCAACAAGCATTTATTAAATACTTACTGTGTGCCAAGCAGCTATATGGCAGTGAGACACGTAGCAGCACTGCCTCCAGAGAACTAAAGATGAGTACAACCCAGAGGGCAATGGAGAAGTATATGGTGAGTGGGATCAGGCTGCAATGTAAAGCCAATGAGAGATGTCAGAGAAGAATAAGAGTAAAGGAGAAGATTGAGAAATACATAGTATGATAGGAAGAGATTGACTGATTGATTGATGGGGTAAGAAGAAGGGATGACAGGTGGATAGCACCCCAGTGGCACCCATGCTATGTTGGCACAAAGTAAGGGCAATGGGTGAACTTTGGGAGGTAGGCGAGAATAGCACAAGATGTGCAGCCATGAGCGAGTTGTTATCTGCTTTATTGTTAGAGGGAATTCCTAAAATGATGAGCTCCTAGATCTTTTTGAGGATATTACTTATAAATTTATATATATATATGCTGGGGACTGTGGGTGAAGCATTGGAAAGTCAAAGACCAAACCAAAAAGGAATCCTTGCCCTCACCTGGCTTTCCCTCTTTATGCTAGCTAGCTTGTTCCTTGAATGTTCTTCCTCATCTCAATTCCCTTCACATAGACTAGGTGCGTATTACATGCTTCTTGGTTAGTTTGAATTTCTTTGCGTGTCAGACATTGCACATAGTACCTTTCAAGTAGCAGGTGCTTAATAAATGCTTGCTTATTGGTTAGACTGGATTGGCTCTTTATTTCTTTGCCCATCAAATCTTGCATATAGTACTTTGTATACAGTAAGTGCTTAATAAATAGTTACTGGTTATATTGGATTTGCTCTTTATTTCTTTGCCAAGACTCAAGTTATGATAAATTTCTGAAATAATTCTCTCATAAGAAACAGGTATTTGACATGTAAATCACATGTAAATATCGTTAAACAATAAAACCTGGAAAGTTAGGAGAGTGCCACGTTGGGATGATGAATAGATTAGGACCACAAAAGGATACCAAGTTAGAAATTTCAATTCTTTTACAATGACTACATAATCTGTGACTTAAGGACTCTGGCTTCACAAAGACCAGGACCCACCTAGGGGCTTGGTCCAAAAGGGACCCAATTTCTCTAGCTAGATGGTGCAGTGGGTAGCGTGGTGAACCTAGAGTCAAGAAAACATGAGTTCAAATCCAGCCTCAGACACTATCTAGCTGTGCAACCCTAGACAAGTCACTTAACTTTTGTCTACCTCACTTTCTTCACCTGTAAAATGGAGATAATAGCATCCACCTCACAGGGTTGTTGTGAGGATCAAATAAGATGTTTGTAAAATGCTTTCCAGACCTTAATGCTTGCAATTACGATTTTGAGGCAGCAATGTTTCGCTTACTTCCTCTCTGTCCTCCCACAGGTGAGTTCTTTGTGAAAGGGCCCAAATCAGCCACTTCTGATTCTTCATGCTATGCCACCATGCCCCTCAGCTTGGCATTCTTTTTATGTAGTGTCTTCCCTATTAGAATGTAAGCTCCTTGAGGGCAGGAACTGTCTTTCTTTTTTAACTTTTCTTTGTATCCTTGCTTAGCATGCACACAGTCTGGCAATTAGTAATAGTAAGCAATTCATGAATGTTTATTGACTAACTGACTTTTGGCTCATGGCCCTCCCCTAGATTAATCTAGGAAAGTCTCCAAATGCGGGTGGCAGGATCCCTATAAATCCTACATAGGCACAGAACATACAATATAATTTTGAGGTTATGAGATACCTTTTTGTTTTCTTCATTTTACAGGCAACTCATCCATGCTGAGGACTTACTGGAGCACAGGAACAAATACAGATGTGTAAGTCATTCAAATAGTCCATCTGCTTTCCTACAGAAGGGAGAGGATTTTGCCATTGTAGCTGGGGAAAGTCTCTATCATTCCTGTAAATCCGTCCCTCATTCATACAATATCCTACAGCATCTCTCTACATTTCATAAAACCTCTTTGTGGTGCGGTTCCACCCCAAAAGGCTGTGAATCTTGTTGCGCAAGCAAACTCTTTCTTGTCAAGCTCCTATTCTCCAAATACCACACTGGCTTTGCCCTCCAAATAGGACCCGTGAATGGTATGCACTGTCTTCCTTCTTCAAAGAGCAGGTACCAGAAAATCTTAAAGTCAGGAACTTTTCTTTTTTCACAGATAAGCCCAAACTTTATTTGAAATTGCATTTTAAGTTTAAAGTTACTAAACAAATCACAATGAAAAAATGAAAAAAAGAACAGTGCCGCAAGCCTCGAATCTAAGGAGGATTCCCAACTTTGACATGGGGCCTGCCTGAGCAGAAGAAATGAACATTACCTATTCTAAAAAGCAATGGGTTAAAAACTAATTTACATTTTTATACAGATGGAAACAAGTTCGTTTACTGCCCATGGAAGAGACGCATTGGTGGAGGGGCAGGGGAAGGCAGGCATCTGGAGATCTCTCATAGACTTAGGGTTGCAACAGTTTCAGGTGCTTTCAAGGTCTTTTAAATTTTTAAACCTATTGTTAGTTACCCATGAGGCAGCTCTCAAAACTGGTGCTATCCAGGAACTCTCCCTTTTCTGCTGGAAGGATAGATTCTGATATCATGCCATCTGAGGAATTTAAATACCTTTCTCCTCTACACAGAAGGATAGAAGGGGAGGATGAAAGGAAATAGGTGTTTATTGAGTACCTATGTGACAGTAACTGTACTAAATAGCTTTACAAATATCCGATTTGATCCTTATAACAACCCACGGAAATAGGTGTTATTACCCACATTTTACAGATGAGGAAATGGAGGCAGACAGAGGTTAAGTGACTTGCCCAGGGTCATACAGCTAGTAAGTGTCTGAGGTCAGATTTGAAATCAGATCTTCCTGACTCCAAGCCCAGCACTCTGTCCACTGTATTACCTAGCTGCCTGGCTGGTGTGAGGAACGTGTCCCTGAACTTCCCTCTCAGAGTATGTGTGAGCACATGCTTCCCCCTGCCATGTGCTTTTCCTGCCACTTCTACTGCTGCTGCTGTTGGGGAGAGGGGAGAGAAATCCCCTCCCCCATCTTAGCAATACCTTGAAAGAAGGGGCTGGGGAAAAGGAGAAGAGTGAGTCCTCAAGAGCTGAGCTCCAAAGAGCAAAATCAGTTTCTTTCATAGGATATGGGGTATAATGGTTGATTTTCCAATCAGCCAATCACAAAGAGATCCTTGGGTCCCATTAGTTTGATTGGGGGTCTCTTCAATTTGATCAAGGACTGTCAATGACCTATGCCCTATAATTTTATCAGGTTCATTAAAAAACTTCTCAGTTTGATCAGGAATTCCCCTGCTCCACCTCTCCCCTCTCCTTATAAGTAGAAGTAGAAGTGGGTTCAAAAAAAGCAGAGACAAAAAAAATCTTAGATTATCTTTATGCCTAAATCTAATTTTGATATTTGTATCCCTTCTAAAGAGAGATTGATTTCCAAATTCATAGTAAAATTGTAGGTGATTTGGCTCATGCCAACATAAAGAATACTTCACCAAGGAAGGATGCTTTCCCAGGGGATGGACAATCAAAGCCTTGGACCAGAGAATGTCTTATTTTTATTACCTGGATCCATGGAAATTCACAGTGAAGGATTAAACTTTTAATATCTGGTCACAACAGGACATCATTCTTGATGTTACTTAGCTGTCATAATGTTGTGCCTGGAATTTTCATCACCATGTTTGTGCTCTCACGGATGCACACTTTAGACTTTGAAAAAAAGGTCGGTGAAATGTTTATTTTGTTTTGTTTTGAGATGATCAACAGCATTCAATGAGCTGGAAGTGGGGGATAAATCCTGTAGTCTGACACTCATATCTATGACATTTATCATGATAGCGCATGAGAAATATACTCATAATTATCATTTTGAAAGAAACACCAAGTGGCAAAGTTATTCCAGATATTAGCCTATGAAAAGTCTCAGTTTTGTCAAATTTGGCAGATGAGGTAATGTGTGTAAAGAGCTTCACCATCCTTAAAGTGTTATGGAGCTGTCTGCTTATATTATTATTGATTCTGTTGTCAGACAGTGAGCAGCTTTGGGATATGGCAGAATCTCTTCATTTATTGTTATGTCACTGCTGAGAGGTAGCTTGGTGGAGTGAACAGAGAGAGGAGTCAGGGGACCTGAGTTCAAGTCTCACCCTGACACAGAAGGGCTGTGCGACCCTAGCCAAGTCATTTAACTCTTCAATGCTCCAGACAACTCTCTAAGGTTCTAAACCACTCAATAGTTGTAGGGTAGCAATTCTTCACTTGAAATTCTCTACACCAATGAAATCACAGATCAATCAATTTATGGCTCTATAGATCTATGTACATACAGATGGCACAGGGGATAGAGTACCAGGCCTGGAGTCTAGGAAGACTCATCTTCCTGAGTTCAAATCTGGCCTCAGACACTTACTAGCTGTGTGGCCATGGGCAAATCCCTTAACCCTGTTTGCCTCAGTTTCCTCATCTGTAAAATGAGCAGGAGAAGGAAATAGGAAATCCTTCCAGTATCTTTGCCAAGAAAACCCCAAATGTGGTCACAAAGAGATGGACATGACTGCAAAGAACTAAACAATAACAAAAATTTATTTATGCATGTATCTATCTATTATCTATTTTTATCTTCTATGTCTATTGATCTATCTGTTTGTCTATCTGTCTGTCCATCCATCATCTATCCATGCACACACACACACACACACACACACACACACACACACACACACACACACATAGACATTTATTGGTATGATTTCTCCATACTTATAAAATCACAAGACTCCCTCCTATTCCAAAAATATGAGAGGTAGAAATATGTAATTATATGTGTGTATAAAATATATAAATACATTTATATAACTACGTACACTTTGAATAAGTATACGCTGTTGTGGTGGTGGTTCAGTTGTTCAGTCATGTCCAATTCCTCATGACTCCATGAACCATTGTACACCAGTACTGTTCAAAGGGTTTTGTTGGCAAACATGCTAGAATGGTTTACTGTTTCCTTCTCCCATATAAACATGTTGGGTGGGTGGGTGGTTGATTATTGTCCTTCATTCTTGAAAAGAGCCAAAATGACATCACCACGTTAGAGTCAAGTTACTGTGTCCAACTGGCTGATCAGACCAATGTGAGCTTGGAATGTTCTACCACAGGTTGGGCACAAATAATCCGTGTGAATATCTGTGGGGTTTTTTTGAACTACTTCAGTTCTGCTTTGCTCATAGAATACAGCATGCCATGCTGGGCGACCCTATGCGGGTATCTCCCATGTCACACAGTCAATTTCAAAGTGCTTAAGAGAGACCTTGAGAGTGTTCTTGTATCATTTTTTCTGACCACTACATGAACACCTGCCCTGTGTGAGTTATAAGTGAGTTATATAAGTGTGTGTGCATATAACTATATGAATATTTTATAATCATGTTTATATAAAATACATAAACATATTCATCATCTCTCAAATTTTTGGACTAAGAGGTAAACCTGTGACTTAATTAGTGTAGGGAATTTGAGTGAGAAAACTTTCTACTTGTGCAGCCAGATAATTATGGTCTTAGAAAACTGTATGGGGGCACTGAGAGAAGGACAAATTTGCCCAGGATCACATGCCTAGTCAATATCAAATATAAGACGTGAACATGGATTTTTCCAACTCCAGCCCACTTCTTGTATTGTAATGAGAGACAAGCTCATCTAGAAGTCATGGGATGTGATGAAAAGGGCACCTGATCTGGAGCTAAGGGGCCTGGATTGAAATCTCAACTTTGACATCAATGATATAGGGGAAAAACTAAAAACAAATGGTGATTCATTTGAAGGCAAATATGCCAAAGTGGGACCTCAAGCCAAAAGTATTAGAAAAACCTTAAAACCCTTTAGGCACACCCTTAGAATTCTGAGAGGCAGATGTACCTGTCCTCTGAAGACCCAATTTGTCAGTGTAAGTGGGAGTTGAAATAAGGACCCCAAATCTGATATATGATTTGTATAGTCCTTAAATGAGCAAATGAATGAATGAATGAGAATCCTGAGACAGTCTTAAAAACATCTCTCAATTCAAATTTAAAATGTTCTATTTTTTAGAGGGAATGGAGGATACATTTTAGGGCAATTGTTATAAAAAATGTTATTCACATAAAGAGTCATCTTTTAAAAAATATAATTAATGTTAATAAAAATAAGTCACCTTTTAAACATATTATTCATATTATAAAGATCAAAGAAAGGTCTAGCACCCAAACGTATAAAGAATCAAGGGGCCTCTCTCCCTTTTCTTGTGGCTGATGTCTCCCCAAGAACCCATACATTTTTTGGTAACTCAAGTACTGACCTAGGTGGGATCCCAGCAAGGAAAAAGGACTTGTATATGAACATATACATAGTTCAGCGCAAGAATTGGGGATGTCTTTCTTTTTGGTAATTGATAATTTACAAATAATCATTTAGTAGTTACATTCTTGCTTCACATTCTGGAGAGAGAGTAGTTCCATTTTGCATATTTCTCAGTCAACCCTACTACAAGTTCTATTTCTTTTACAGTTTGAGAGGTAGTAAGGATAGAAGATGAATCGGTGTTGGAGGGTGGGAGGGTGGGAGGAGGAATGGATCGCTTATTTTAGAGAATCATCTTGCTATTGTCCATTTTTCGGTCTTTTGAAATTCTTTATATTGATGTAAGAGAAAGAATCATTTGAATTTGCTTTGTAACAGATGGCTGGTTACATTACAGAAATGCCATTGTTCTATGAGTTTTTTTGAACTGGTCCTTGCCTAGAAAGCCATGGGAAAAAAATGTTAC